ATGGTAGAGCGAGCCGTTCGAGAAGCAAAATGCAAACACGCCGCATCTGCCTGTTCTGCATACGTACGTAAGCGTTCCGCAAATTTTCGTACAAAGATTGACGCGCGCCGGAAATGAGATCTAGACCAAAACCAATTAATGTAAAATTATTTTGAGACTGCCCTGCCCGCGCAAAATTCGCGGAGTTTCAATGTTATTTAAAAATTTTTTTTAAGTAGAAAAAAAACCGTTCACTTTTAAAGCATCCTCCCAGTCTGTTCGTCATATTTAATAGTAAAATGTTTATTTAATATGACATTTATTCATTTCGATTTTGCAAATTGTTGTTTTATAACTGTAATTAATCTAAAAATTCTTGTATTTATTGTCATTTTTTATTTCGAAAGATAAAAATATCGCATTCACGTTCCGAACGTCTCGGTTTTATTATCATTTTACAAAAATATTATAGCAAAAGAAATTATCGATACTATCCTCGTTTCAATCGATGACGTGTAAATGTTTATGCGATAAAAGATTATTTTTTAATCAGTTTCGAGACTCTTCGCAAACTGTCGACAAAACCTATTTGTGAACAAGATCAATTTTTTATTACTTTTCATATTTTCAGTGATTGAGAAATAATCTGTTAGCTATTAATGAACTCCCCTCCCCTCTAATTTGAAATAAAAATTAAAGAATTTTGGAATTAAATTTAAATTTAATTATTATTTGTATGTTATATATTTATTTAAAAATTTTTTTTTTTTAATTAAAATTTGCAACTAATGTATTATTAGCTTATTATTTATGTATTATACAATTAATCTAATAATTTATTCTAAATTTTTAGTTTTCAGCAAAATTTGTATATTAATTATCTTTAATTTTCTTATTTAAAAATTTAATTTTATTTAATTAATATGTTTAATGTTTGATAATGCCATTTTTATGAGAAGAACAAAATATGATTATCATAGGAATTTTTTTTCTCATACTTAGATCCAGTTCCACAATTGATGGTTCTTAACCGAGGTTCAACTTATTCTCTTTTCAATTTTAGAATTGGAAAAAGATAAGAAACAAGTTAAACCTTGGTTAAGAGTTAATCATGAGTTATGAAACTGGGCCTTAGATGCGATATTTGCTTTTCTTTCTTGCACTCTACATCGCATAAAGAGTCCGCGAGACGGATTAAAATTAAATCGAGAACTTGATAAGCGTAGTCACAGTGATAATAATAGTCCTAGCGAAGCAGCATTGCTATCTCGGGCGCAGCTGTATTTACGCAAACGATTGAAAATCGTATTGAGAAACTAGGCTTAAAATTCGAATTTATCAGTCTTCACGAAGCCGTATAGGTATCGAATATATTATTTATAAGAACTTCGATTAACTTGCAATTTTTCGGGTACTCGCCCCACGCGAAACGCTTCGTTTCTTACGAAACGCTTACGCGAATTTAACGAGATAACAGGTACGATCAACATTCGAGTCGTATCGCCCGAAGATTTTATAACTACTGAACCGAACAGTGAAGCCGTTAATTAGATCGGCAAAACGACGTCATTGCGAGGACTAAAAGCCGTCTCGAGTTGAAAAATAATTTCGAGGATCGAAATCACGAGAGAGAATCATGTACTAAATTATACGAAATCAAATTATAGAAACAAACGTATTACAATATTAGACAGTATTATAGATTTGCTTGCGATATCTCGTGATTTTTTATTTTATCATTGAAATTGGGTATGTTAACAGAATAACGATCGTGTAACTTTTTCTGTAAGGCAGAAACGTGAAAAATGCAATTTTTTTTTATTACCTTCAATGATAAAACTTTTTACTTTTTTATATTTTCGGCGAAAAAGTTACATGATCGCAACCCAGATGATAAAAAAGTTGTTTACGACTTTAAATGTACGATATTATTCATACGAAACGTATAATTCATACAAAATATAAATATCCATAAGAACAACTCACAAGTATTTTATAGAGTTTTAATAATAAATATATTTTATTTACAACTATACTTGTTTTTTCAGCATTATTAACATATGATAATCGTGTCGCATAAATAATTAAAAAAAAATTTTGATTTGGCATTTAACGTGTTTCAAACTTTCCGGTTCAATCGAAGAAGCAACAATATAATTGCCTACAATATAATGCCGATGTCTTCGATGTTAACACATACACATGAATTTTTTTATCTAATTCGACCATGATATCGTCGATATCAAAGATTAAAGCTCCCAGTTTAAAGAATTACGCATCGCGACGGAGGATTGTTCACCAAGAAAAAATTCTGAAAACTTCATTATTGATATCGAAAAATTTGTCCTTGAATTACTAGGATCGATACGTTTCGATTGCATATCAAATTAGCGACGATCTCTCGGCCGTTCATTGATCTCGCAAACAACTTGGCCGTCTTATCAGCGAACGTGCGTGTCTTCGTCTTGATGTGTGTTCCACTGCCGAGACTTGTCAGCGTCGTGAAAATTCTCTCGGAAGATGCGATAATAGGTAGAGAATAGTTTGGTTGCAACAACGGTGGGTCGACGAGCGTGAAAAATCGAAGGCCTGTCGACTCATAGCCGGCTTATCACAGGCCAGATACGTTACTTGCCGTATGTTTACCGCAGTTGTGCGTGACGTCCGATTTCACGACTTGGATAAGGGGATCCACGATAGAAATACAGATTGTTATGTTCAGGCCGCTAAATGGAAAAGATTGCCAAAATCATCAAATTTATTCGTGTCCGAGATCTGCACGCGGCGACGGGAAAGACGGGAGAGTGTGTCATTTTGCCGCGACCATCGGAATTGTCCTTGACATTTTGCACGTTGTGATTGCATGATAATGAAATTAAACTGTTCTCAACCGAGTGCGAAGTGCCGTCGTACTCGAACGGGAGAGTCGACTGAATCTCATCGTCGGATACTTTGTGAGCACCGGTGTGTCACTGAACCTGATCTGACACGTGTATAGTTCTCGAGGCTGTTGCAAGCAACAGTACGGTGTTGTCTGCACGAGAATTTTTTTCTCACAAGCCTTCATTCTTGACGACAGTGTCGATGTCGTTGCATCGTTGTGCAATTTTTTTTACTATGCATAAAACTTGTTCAACGACAATGAAAGGATTTCGTTAGTCGTTAAAAGTTACAGAATAGGGACCTAACCGTTTTTAAGACCTTTCTACATTCGAGTTCACATACAGCTCAGAACTTACAGTAACGTTACAATATTACTGTAATATTACTAGAACGTTGTAATGTTGCAAGTGGAATGATCTATGTTGTACGAATTAAGATAGATGTATATCCATTACTAAACACATAATTAGTAGATCCAATTATTATAAACGAAATGACAAAAATTTTAAATAATAATAATTATAAATATTAATTTAAATATTAATAAGTTTTTCATAAATACGTAACTCTCTAAATTTGTTATTAAATTTTTATAAATATTTATTTTATAAACGATTTATTTAGAGTCGTACATATCATTGAAAGCTTAAAATTTTTGTCGTCCAATAATTGGGTCATGTTCACTAATTAATTTACCTTACATCGCGTCGTTATATATTGCAATTATGAATGTAGGTGTCTACCTTGTAATCGCGCTTTCACATTTTCATCCATTTTTGCCGAGCACGTTGAGATTGTACGTAATATCGCAGCTGTGATAAGCGCGTTCGTTAACGCAGAATGATAACTGGCCGGTCTCTTCTTGTAGCGCGACATATAATTTATAAAAAAAAGCGCCACGGACAACTTCGTGATAAAGCGGTTGACCAGCTCCGGTTTCTTTTTGAAAGCAGAGATTTATTTTAAGAGCATGAAAGTTCTGCGCTGAACCAGTGGGTGACGGGGCGGGATAAAGATCAAGGGAAAGAGAAAGAGAGGGAGGGAGAGAGAAGGTGAGGCAAGGGAGCGGTTTGAAAATAAAATCGAATCCACAGACACGCGAGCGATATGGCAAGATCATAACTTTCTCCGAACAGTTCTCCGAGATTCTTGCGAAACTTCGTACCGGTCTGCACACGCTGCCGGCTCGGCGCTCTCCGTATGAAAAATGTATACGAGCCTTTAATATCGGCAACGTGCCTAACGGAAAAGAGTACGCGGATAATATCTCCGTACCGGAGAGAATAAAGCGCCGATATATATAAGCGCGGTAGTTCACGAACGTTACGCGCACACGTAATATCGCGCTCGCTATTTGTAATTGCATATCGCACACGTGCTCGCAAATCGTCCATTTAAATGATAATCTTCAGAAAACGAATGCGGATCGAATCGACGTTACAATGGACTTACTGCGATCCTTAATTGTTGATCCTCGTATAGAGATGCGACGATAATGTCCATATAAAAATCCATATAAAAAGCGGAAAAATACACGAGTCTTACTCATGTCGTTCTGAGAATTAATTGCCAATGAGGAGACCGTGATTCTTATAAAATTGAAATCCGCGAGGTTTCAGTGACGTGGCTGAGTAAGCGATTATGACGTAATGGAACATATAATGCAGCACATGGCGCAATAAATGATAATCATTCATTGATTAAATGAATAATGCGCTAAATACTGTTTAATTGGATAATTCCAAAATTGTTTGAGAAAAGATCGAGATTGAAATAATTGTAGCGGTTGCGCGAATACATTTCCATCAGATAGATATCGAATTGAGCTTCAACGAATCGCTTTCATCACATATATTCTTTTTTTTTTCCTTTTTATCAGAGAAGTCTCGTGTCGAGAAAAGGCCGGTTCTCTCAGCACGAGTGCCTTTTACAAGAGTTTTCAGGTGTATGTGTTTAGTCATCGGGACATTATATATGTATCCGCGAGCCCGAGTTACGCGACTTTCACTCTGAAATGTCAACTGTTGTTTCACTTTTCAGCTCCCCCACCGTGCGAGCATCGATCAATCTGATTACGCACAACAAAGGGACGACTGTTGTAAAGCGATTTACGATTTCTCTCTCTGTATCTGTTTCAGGTGGCAAATACGACGGTCGCGTGTATACGACGATCACGATCACGGAACGGACTCATAATGGGAGGAAAGCGGAGGGATTATGACGCGAAAGGAGAAACTCGCAGAGACTCGGCTTGCGTCTTGTACACGATTTATATTGATATTTTTATCCTGTAATATTATCCAAAAATGATCAGAGAAAGGAACGATCTGCGAAGATTTCTTAGTGAAGCAGAAAATCATTTTACCGCAATACTTGTACTATAGAAATAATGAGAAAATATTGTATACATATTGTGGTACATTAGATTTAAAAAATGGCCAGCGTAAAGGATGAATGGATGTGTGTGAAATAAATTAATGATAAAAAAATATGAACAAAGTCCCCTTCTTGGCTTGTAATACTGAAGGTAATAAAGATTCTATTCTCTCTACTCTTTATATTATAAAAATATTACGAATTATAATATTTATATTTTAATATTAC